CCCCCCGGCGCCGCGGGTTCAGTTGTCCGGCTGGAGGACGGCAGGCGGAGCGGAGGCGACTGCCCCGGCCGTGCGCGGTATCGCCACCGCGCTATCTGGCGAGATGCTGACGCGGCGTCGCGTGCGTCATAACAGCCGGTGATCCGGTGCCGCTGCCGGTTTTTTGGGACGGTCGGGCTGAGGTCGGCCAGGTCAGCCGGGGTCGCTGTCCGGCCAGGTCAGCCGGGGTCGCTGTCCGACCGGGCGATGGCAGTCGTCCGCCCGTTCACGCTCGATGCAATGGCACGTATTTGGTGTGGTAGCGATGGGGCAAACAGGCGTTTATGTCAAGTCACGACAGATAAACTCTAGACGTGGTCGATCGAGTTGTCCATTCCCGGATTTAGTGACGGCTTAAGTGGCCACGCGGGAGTCAAATACGCTCGCGCAGGGTCATTGCGCAAATTTGAAGAAATATGGACGGTACGCGTCTGATATCCCTCTTGCCTAGGATGATATAATGCGCATCTGGGAATGTTTGCTAGTTGGGCACGCTGATGATGGGCTAATGATATTTCTGGGTGAGCAATGCGACAGCAGTGATGCACGGGGAGTAAAAACGCCTTACGTATGAGCGGCGCAGTTCATAGTTCGTGAAGATATTTTTGCAGCAGGGTCTTATGCGGCCCACAGGAAAACAGAAAACAGATGTCAGTCGGCCCGCAGACCCCAATACGGGCGTGATGAACGCGGTGAATGTGTAACATTCAACGCATTCAGAACGTGAGTATAGCAGCGTGAGCACTGAGTAAGTGATGCAGATCCGCCCAAACCTCGAGCTTTGTGTGATCACCACACCGCAGTGCTGTGCGATGATCACAATGTTAACAAGAATCCCCTGGATCAAAGGCTGCCATAACAACAATTGCACGATTTAATACACCCAGACGGGTAGGAACGTCTCAGAGAATGCGAGGGAGGTCTAAGACCTTTCAAGCAGGAATGCAATTCTAGGGTGGTGGGAAGAACTGTTGCTGGATCCCCAAAATTTGACACCGGTTTTATGTAAAATGTTTGGACCCAATACATTTTTTGGAATCTTTGCTCTGCAGATCGATCTCCAGCGATGCCTTCTCCGCCAATACTCTCTCTCTCTCTCTCTCTCTCTCTCTCTCTCTCTCTCTCTCCTCTCTCGTCTCTCTCTCTCTCTCTCTCTCTCTTCTTATACTCGTCTCTCTTCTCTTCATCTCCTCTCTCTCTCTCTCCTCTCTCTCTTCTTCATCTTCTCTTCTTCTCTCTCTCTTCTCTCTCTCCTCTTCTCTCCTCCTTTCTCTCTCTCTCTATCCTCTCTCTTCTCTTCTCTCTATCTCTTCTCTCTATCTCTTCTTCTTTTCTCGCTCGTCTCTCTCTCTTCTCTCTGTCTCTCCTCTCTCTCTCTCTCTCTACTCTCTCTCTCTCTCTCTCTCTTCTCTCTCTCTCTCTTCTCTCTTCTCTCTCTTCTCTCTCTCTCCTCTCTCTCCTCTCTCTCTAGTCTCTCTCTCTCTCTCTCTCTCTCTCTCTCTCTCTCTCTCTCTCTCTCTATCTCTCTCTCTCTCTCTCTCTCTCTCTCTCTCTCTCTCTCTCTCTCTCTCTCTCTCTCTCTCTCTCTCTCTCTCTCTCTCTCTCTCTCTCTCTTCTCTCTCTCTCCTCTCTTCTCTCTCTCTCTCGCTCTCTCTCTCTCTCTCTCTCTATATCTCTATATATATATATATATATATATATATATATATATATATATATATCAATGACTTGGTTCAGCTATTACAAAAAAATATGCCCGTGCATTGATGATGTCATGTTTCTACTGGCATGCTAACAGCACGCAGCTTTCAGAACATGGCCTATTTTCAGTCAAGCAGCGTTTCAGAATCCAAGCAATGAGTCTGCTCAATGCCTGGTGCCCAGAGCCTGGCGCATCGTATACGACGTACCGGGCTAAGGCTAATGGTGTGAAGGGTCTCACACCTTTACTCTAATGCCTTTAGTCTCTCAAGCCAGAGAGACTAAGAGGAAGGACTCATACCAGTACGAAAATATCCCGAGGTGTATCTCTTTAGTGTTGCTGACCGGGTGGCTTCGTGATGTTTCCATATAATTCAGGCGAACGGCATTAAGTCATTGTGTTCAACAGACAGTGGGATGAGCCATGAAATGAATATACCTGCTAAATACAGAAATGTATGATTGGTGTAATTGTGATCGAGAACGTTCAAGTGGTCATTCATTAGGCAGTTTAAATATCTGCCTGTTAATAAATTAGATAAAACTAGCGTCACATTTACACTTGTGATCGCTTTAAACGAGGCAGTTTGCGTGCCTTTAGAGCTTCAAAGGGTATTAAGGTCAAATATTAACGACGATTCCCTGCTTTCTCTGTCACGTTTATCCACTTATTGCATTTCGTATGCGGCCCAGTCCCAGAACTTCCTGGCAGTTTTCATGCTATCTTCCCTTTTCTCCTTATTGCCATTCGCCGGTGTCCACGACTGCCATCGTCCATTATTTCGTGAGCGATCAATATCTCGGCTTTCGCCAAGTCATTCCCTTTAATCAGCTTTCCGGTTCATTTACAGACGAACAGCATTTCACGGTCCGTTTTTGCCAAGATCCTCGGCTTCAGCGAGGGCGACTCTGGCTCGGCTGTTGAACTCAGTACGGCACCAAACGCCTTGACTTCTCGTGAGGATGGAGGGAAGAGGGGGCCGAATACTCACGGCGAGACATCAACAGTCTCAGACTGTATGACTGACGGACTCCCAGGACAAGGGACCGGAATTTTCTTTACTTCTCTTCCATAAAAATTATTTCAGACGAGCAGTGTAAGACTGTTGCAATGCACTCAATCCTCCGTCGTGTCTGATAAGCTAGCAAGGTCAGGGGTCCCAGCCTTCCCTGCTTAAGCCTGACACCAGGAGCGGCACGTTGCAGGCTATAGGTCCTATCAATGCGGTGTTGGCAGCAAAGCCGAAACGGCTGCGCGTTTACTCTTAGCGCGCCATCTGTGGCGCATGAATCATAAGCGCCACCGCAGGGCGTCGCTAGTGTCGAAACCCAAACCGCGGCTGACGCTCATCTAACTCAACCCGGCATCCCCAAACTTCAGGAGAGTCCACATTCACACAGACGGTTTCGTCTTTGTTTTGGTGCATAGGAGAATTCCACGTTAACATATGTAACACAATCTTCTGGACGAGGCGTAAGCTTAAGATAATTGCTATGACTTTCCCCAAAAGTACAGTTCAGAGGGCACCTCCATCACATCTCATATGCCACTCGAAGGAGTTGCATTTGTGAGCAACTTTCCGAACCTCAGTTGCACCCGTCGCAATCCCCTACGCGAAAGTTTGCTGACCTTATCGTGTGGGCGACGACTACAAAAGACAGCTGGAGTGAAAGACGTACAATGTCTACAGATACGACCCAACTATTGAAGCGTATGTGCCTTTCTTCCACGAAGCCCAGGGGATGTAACGAATCTGAAGCGTTAACCGTACCGAGTCTTGGCTTTAAGCCCACCAATTCATTAAGGCTGAAGTAATTTGGCGCACCGAATCTCATTTTCCATTGCGCTTGTGGACAGCCGCGTCACACATTGTTGGTGTGCCCGTCGCGAAAGGGCAATCCTTTCGGTGTTTTTTCTTTGTGATTGAAATGCAATTTTTGGAATATGGTTGAATAGTCGCTCTAGACACAGAGATCTGTGACCACCAATATCTCTTTCGACACAGCCATGTCTGTGACAAAGTCATTATCAAGCCATTATCTCTTCATATTACCGGCTTAATGAAGCATTCCCCAATCGAAAGTGTCTCAGCTCCGCTAATAGCAAGGCTCAGCGGCTTACACGCCAAAGCCTTCCGCACCCTCCTCCTCAAGGGAGACACGTACGCAAAGCGTAACGGCAAAACGCGGAACAACGCTCTGTTTCTCCCCAAATCGAAGCTATTGGAGCTAAGCTCCGTACGCTCCGAGTCCTTCGTGTCGTCTTTCAAGCGTGCAGAAGGGTCAAGGGGCAGGAGGGGGGGGGGGGGGCGGGTGGGGGCCGGTCTGGGTCATTAGTGGTGTGGCGGCACCGGTGCCTTGCCTAGCAACGGCCGTGCGCGCGATGACAACAAACGGAACTCCGCAGGACCGGCCGCCGGCCCCGGACACCGACGGCGCCGGGGGTGCTAGCAGCCGAGCGCGGACCGCACGCGTGTGACCGGTGCCGCGTCGTGGCGGGGCATGTGTGTCCGCGAGACGACGGGAGCCCGAGGCGTGCGCTGAGCTGGCGGCCAGCAGCGACGCATCGATGGCCGCCATGAGCGGCAAGCGCAAGCCGTCGTCGTCGTCGAGCAAGAGCGAGGAGGATGAGCTGGGGCGAGTGCGTGAAGCGCAGGCGGCGGTTGCCGCGCCGGACGGAGCGCCCGCCGGTGGCGGCGTGGCGCCCGCCGAGCCCGAGGGCGCCAGCGGCGACGGGGCGCCGCAGGAGGCGCGCACGTGCCAGGCGCCCGGCGCGCCCTCGGCGCCCTCCGCCGCCGGCATGTGGCCCGGCGCGCGCCAGGGCGCCCGCACCAAGACGCAGCCGAAGAAGAAGAAGAACGCGCTGACGGCCGACCAGCCGCCCGAGCTCAAGGATGAGCCGGCCGCCGGCTCGGCCAGACCCCGCCTCCGTCGGGGTGAGCAGAGCTAGGCGCACCCGGAAGCTACGCTGTAACCGGCGACGTCGAGGTCGCAAGGCGTCGTTGATCTTTTCCTTGTCCGCTCCCACGGGCTCGCTAGAATCCCGTGGTCTGCTGTGCATGAGGACGTAATGCGCCCTCAGTCGTTATCCATGGAGTGCTCTCCTCTCCCACAAGTCTGCATGTGCCCAGAGGTCTTTTCAGGGGTTCTTGTGAACAGAATTGGCCGGTTCAGAGGTTTTGCTAAGAACCGCTGTGCGATGTGTAAAAGCGGTCCATCTGCACAACATGGCAAGTGATGTCATCCACCGCCTTATGATTTATGACGCTCATCAGAGCGACATACCGCAGTAACGGTCTTGAACTGCTTTGCACTCAGTTCTCAGTGCTGATGCTCAGTTCTCAGCGCTGGCGCTCTGCTCAGCGCTGATGCTCAGTACTCAGCGCTGATGCTCAGTTCTTAGCACTGATGCTCAGCTCTCAGCGCTGATGTCCAATGCTCAGCGCTGAAGCATGCGCTGAAGCAGCGCTGAAGCAAGTGCATGCCACTATAAGCTTTCGTCCCGGAAGAACCTTACTCCGATGACACCTTATGCTGCTACAGATAATGTCAACAGACTGTTCAAAGCTCCCCAGTAAGCTTCCCTTTCCTTTGCAAATTCATGCATTTGGAAACCCCAGTGAAGATTGCTGTTTTCCGCGTGCTAAACAGCGTGTTTATTTTTTTGAGCCACATCTGCTTGCTGCATTTTGTCTTGCTTGACATTTAAACCTGCCTGATGGTGTCGACGTGCTGTCACCATACGGGTGAGTGTGCGTACGAGTTCCTACATTTTTTATACACATACACACAACCAATTCGAGTTATTTAAAAAGTTTTCCAGCTCTCCCCGCAACATGCATAATTTGTAGTGTTCCACCATACCAATGGTGCTGTACCAAGACCTCCCTGTCGTAAATGAATGTTTGACTGTCGACGACATGCCCACGTACCCACACTTTACCAACTTTTGTATCCACATTATTACATGTTTTATACCGTTGAGAATTAAAAAATAATAAAACTATTACAATACGCCTGCAATTTAAGCGCGCTCGCCACACCTAACTATCATCTGATGACCTACTCATCTCAATTCTTTAAATCAACTTCGGGTCACTGACTCACCACAGCCAACCCAAAAGGTTGATGACCTACCCACGACGACGCTCGATCGATAGCCCGCCCCAGCTGATCCGATATCATGCTAATGACCTCACCCTGCCTCAGCTGACTGATGCCCCATCGCAGCTAAGCTCCTCCACATCCTCCGGTCCTAGCTGACGCCAAAGCAGTCCACTTCTGGACGTTGCCCGATGCGGTAGCTGAGCGTGACCTCCATGACCTCAGAGCCGCTGCCGATGAAGCTGCGCGCGCTGCCGCAGTCTTTCTGGCTGCAGCCCAACGCCAACCAGACATCCCCCAACACGGGCTCTCTGCCGCCGCTAGTTACCACGTCCAAAGACGCGCAGGACATCAACGGTAAGTGTTGGGTGGGAGTGGGGAGGGGAGAGGGCGAACCACTTAGGCCCGCATTTTGCCCTTTTCATCTCTGATGGCTCCTGATAGAAGGTCAGGAACCATCTTTGGTAATGTCTAAAAATCGGTGCCATACCTTCTCATCCGGCGCAAATAACCATTGCAGTTGACACGTCCTTAAAACCAAATAACTAGCTGATTACCTTCTCACTGAGATGCACCACACCCCCGTGTGCGCCCCTGGGCAAGATAACCTACCGCCGGTCAGTTACTGCACCGCGAAGACCAGGGTCGTATCTCACGCCGAACACTGGCCAAAGGCCGCTGATTTTTGGTAAGAGGGAGTTCCTTCCACGGGATGGAGAGGCCAGCAGCAAGGCTGCGACCCCTCTCAGACTGTGAGCCGACCCTCGGGAGTTCAGAGCGGGCATGATGACATGCACGCCTTCACTGGACACGATTTGTTGCAGCTCAACGTGGGTTAGCCACAGGGAGGAGACCTTACATTCCGTTAAACTGGAAAATGAAGATAACGGCAAAGGAACTTATTTCTTTCATTCTCTTTAAAATGGTTGCCGTCTTCGTACCTAGAACAAGTTACTAGCGTGTTCTGCTACAGTAATAAAATCGATTGCAAATGACCTTGCGGCTTTCCGTTTTGCCACGGATGGGACAAATCGGAAACTAGGATAGCTTATACGGAGTATAAGCGGCGGAACGCAGCAACCACCGCGTATTTTATAAAATTGCCGGAAAGGGCGAGCTCTTTCTTCGCCAAAGCGTGTTCTTTCGTGATCACATCCACTTGCCAACTCTAGAGCTCCGGGTAGATTGAAAGTCAAGATTTTAGAAAAACGTGCTGTCTCCATCGCTACCTTCCTTGAAGGTATATACGGCGAATATATTTCGCATGTTTCTCTTGTGAGCATGTCCGAGCTCAAGGCCATTCCTGTCCCAACTGACAGGGTCAGGGAAACACTTACAAAACAGTAACAGAATGGCATGACACATCCCGTCAGCCCCTTTCATGACATGTCCTTGTTGTCAACAGGAATCGACCAGACAACCAGTCGTCTGTCATGTTAAGCCGAAGTTACGCATGTTATTGTTGTACGCGTTGTTCACCTAACACACAACAATCTAATCAACCGTCACCGTAACACAGAGGGTCACTGTGTAACACATTCAGGAACCTGCGTGCTGCTGTCATACGTGCCATAATCATGTTGCTCGGTCTGTCCCTCTTCCTTCCCTTACAAAGCCATGTCAACCACAACTTGCCGACTGACAGCAGACCTCAGCGCATCTCCAGAAAGAGGGTCGCGACGGTGAGAAGAAGATAACGTAAGCATTTCATGGATGCCACTAGTAAATGGTGGATACACTGATTTTTCGTTTCGCCTCAGGTCATTCTGATATCTCCGCCCTTTCCCCTTTTCCTTAGCGAGCATCGTGGTCAGCCAAGACACAGCGATAAGTTGACAGGCGGCGTATGCATGTTTACAGAGACAATTGCAAGAATAGTGAGTGACCCGGTTACCACGCCGCACTCGCTCTGTCAAAAATAGCCATTATGACATCAACCCACGCGTCGACAAAACGCGACCAGAGACCGTAAACAACATATCCGCCGTTCGAATCCGAAGCGTCGACCCACATCAACCCACGCGTCGACAAAACGCAACCAGAGACCGTAAACAACATATCCGCCGTTCGAATCCGAAGCCTAGCCGTCCACCGTCCACGACGGTTGTTCCACGTCCGCCCGTCCGCGTCTACCTCCGCCAGCCGCAGCCCAGAGCCCCAGCTGCTGGCGGACGCTGGGATTGCAGTGGGCAGCGCAGACGTGCTGACCGCTGGCCGCCCGCAGACGTGCAGCCGATCACGCCGCCGGACCAGCGAAGTCAGCGGCGCTCCCCGGAGCAGACGAGAAGCTTGACCGTCGGCAACCCGGACCTGCTGTTCTCGCTGTTCGACAACGTCAGCCCGACGGGCGAAAAAAAGCGGCTGGCCGTGCTGAAGCGCAACAGGTGAGGAGGTGGTGAATTGACTGGCAGAAGGTGAGGTGGTGGAGGAGGGGGCTGGCGGCAGGTGGGGAGGTGGTGTAGGGGGCTAGCGGCAAGTGAGGTGGTGGTGTAGGGGTCTGGCGGATGGTTAGGAGGTGACGGAGGGGGCTGGCGGCGGGTGAGTAGGTGGTGGGAGGGGCTGGTAGCAGATGAGGAGGTGGTGGGGGGGGGAGGGGGGGGGGGGCGGGGACTGGTGGCAGGTGAGGAAGTGGTGGAGGGAGCTGGCGGTAAGTGAGGAAGTGGTGGATTGACTGGCAGAAGGTGAGGTGGTGGAGGAGGGGGCTGGCGGTAGGTGATGAGGTGGTGTAGGGGGCTGGCGGATGGTGAGGAGGTGGCGGAGGGGGCTGGCGGCGGGTGAGTAGATGGTGGGGGGGGGGGCTGGTAGCAGATGAGGTGGTGGAGGGGGCTGCGGCATGTGAGGAGGTGGTGGCGGTGGGGGGAGGGGGGGGGGGGCTGGCGGCAGCTAAGGAGGTGGTGGTGGTGGTGGTGGTGGGGGGGGGGGGTTGTTTGGAGACGCTGGCGGCGGGAAGTGCAAACTCGCGAATCGTGGTAATCGTTTCTTTTTGGCATGCTGTTTTCAGAATGGAATTTTACGTGCACTGCGCCGCCTTGTTATCATTGCATAACACGCCTATTTAGAACCGCTCACAGAGAAAATTTACGTACTCCAGATGCAAAACATGGCCCCCAATGGGCCTGCGCCCGGGATGAACCAACGCATGGCAATATAACTACAGATTCACACCTCCCAATGCATCAGGGTAACTCAGCGATGCGAGGCGTGTTTCCTTCGGCGAGAAATCGTGCCGGACCATTCGGGCCACGTGATTACTCGTTTCTGAGACGCAGGGCCGTTAACGCCATAGACGATAACGCTATCACCGGACCCTGTCCTGACATACGGCAATATATTAGCGGCACGTTTCAATGATAACGAGTGTAGCTTGATGAAAGATGTCACTCTTTTAGACCACTTGAAAGGCGAGGAAAGCCATTCACGTAATAAGCTGCGCATTGGGGTCATCTGCTCCAAGTGGGCTACAAAGGACGGCGTTTTATGCTTGGAAGCGTGCATAGTTGGCTTGTTTGTAGGTCCTGTTTTGCGTCGCATGCGTACTTAACCCCAATCGCCTGCCTAATGATGCCCTTCGCTCCCCGTCTTCGACGCCTCCATGTCATGTCCGAGGGAAATACGCGTGTGAGGCGCCGCGCAGCATCCCGTGCAGGCGACTCGTGGTGAGGCAGGCTAGACTGCTCGGGGGCTCGTCCAGACCACAGGCTTTTGTTTCAGACCTCGACAGCCAAACTTAGCTCGATGGTTTCCGCCGTTTCCCACAACCCCACATGAAACAAACCGTGTGCAAATGCGAATAAATACATCACACAGATGTAACAGCTTATTCTATTTCATTACCGCGCCGTTAATAAAAATCATGATTATGGCACAATGGTGGTCAAAACTCACTCGGTATCATGAGTTCAGAGGTCTTACGCTGAGTAAAGGCGACCTCCCACATACCGAGAGGTACTTGAAAGACATTGCGGAGCAAACATTGGTTGTATTGACAATACCCGACATTTCAAGCTGGGCTTATGCTCACTAGCACAGCTGAGAGTTGCCACACAATTGCAACTTTCTGCTGCATTATCAATATGCAACATATCAGCTGCGCTATTCGTAGGGAATATATCAGCTACATTGTCCGTGTGCAATTTAGCAGCTGTATTTGTAATCGAGCTTAAAATGTCTGATGCTGTCAAAATAATCAATGTTTACTCTATAGTCATTAAACCGGTACCTCCTGTTGTATTAAAGGTCGATTACCCAGCGTAATAACTTTGACCTCATGGTGCAAAAAAAAGAGCTGAAGTCCCTCCATGCTTATATGAAATCAGCTCGCAGAATTTGGTGCAATTGAGTATCTTCCTAGCTGCTTCGTCTTCCCTCTTATCTTCCCTCTGGCACTATCTCGCAGTTCTATGCGACAACCGGGAGTGATCGCTACAAAGTCTCATCTATTTCGACTCCTAAAGCTGCATGACAATTTGCGCCCACTTTTTGATGGCTTTAGCGCATGGATGAAACAGAAGACAGCGACATGAGACAGGGCCGACCGTGTACACCAGTTTCCACTATCCGCTGCATGAGGCACCATTTTATTATGATTATTTATTTTCCAGCGCCACGAGCGCGACGACCGACCGATGGCCAGCCCCTCAGCTTCGTCACAGGTGGCGTGATCAGATCACGTGACCGCAAACACCCCGTCGCGACTAAACTGCCGTTGCCCCCACGTTTCGTACCATCGTACCGTACCATTCGTACCAACGGAGCGTTCCACCCCGTGCGCAGCTCCGGGTGCCACTTGATTACAAAGCAGCGACGAACTCTGTCGGGCGAACTTCGCAGAATGCAACTGACCAGAGACGGGAGACCAGGACTCCTTGCCGTGCTCGCCGATACGTGCATGCCACCAGCACCGTTACGACATCGTCTGGCTGGTCCATAGCAGCCAAGCTGACGCCTGTGGCCAAGCCACTTACAGCATTACATTAATCTATCACCAATGCGGCCTTATCCGAGATCGTGCTTGGGGGTGTGTGGGACGAAAATACGTCGTTAGCCCACAGCCATGACAACGCTGGTTCCAAATTATGACAGAGGGAGAGGTGACAGTTATTGCGGACTGCTGCAGGCTATTCTTTTCACGCATCGCATCACGTCTGATGGAAAAAAGATGACATCTGGAAGAGGTCGGGGAGAAGAGGAGGGGGGGGGGGGGGGGGGGCGGGGGGAGAGCAGTGTATACAGAATGATTCCCATTCCCCAACGCGCATTTAACGCAAAACGTATAGCCCTACAGGCTACCATGCGATACCCGGCCGCTTTAAAGGCCACATTGTTTTTCAACGCCCAATCGACCCTAAACTAGTAAGCAATCAGCAAAAACATTGGTTACCTATCCGACCTGATCCCACCTCGTGCCACAGGCGCACGCGGCCCCTGACCGATTCCGTGACCCCAGACCTCCATGCCGCAGGACCAGGAAAGGTAGCGGCCTGACGGGCGAGACGGCGCACGAGGACGACCCTTACATGTGCAGCTCGGCCACCGAGTCGATCCTGCCGCTGCTGCCCGACCGGTCCAGCGGGTCCGGCACCCCCGCCAACAAGGGCACGCAGGTGGGTGGGCAGGGTGGACAGGTCAGTGACCTTGGCACAGACACACACACACACACACACACACACACACACACACACACACACACACACACACACACACACACACACACACACACACGAACACAAACACCAAGATATGCCTCCAGATCAATGCACCGTTCGCCAGGGTACACAGGTCTGCGCGCCCACCACGGGGTACACAGGTCAGTGACCTTTGGTTACAGGTAACGACAGGTACGCACAGCTCGGCATACACGTCATTCGCTAAGAGGACTATGCCAGTCAGCCAGAGAAGTATGCCAGTCAGTACTGCGGCCAACGGAGGCACCCAGGTCGATGCATTCGCAGGCTCCCCAACAGGGGCACGCAGGTCCGCCACCAGCCGAGAGTCACAGTGCACACAGTTGACAGTACACCCATCAAAAAGAGTTTAAATGTCACCTTGCCGATGAGTGTGCGCAGACTGAAGCATGACCGATACGGGTACGCACTACAATAATCTGTTCAGTTTAACAGGATCATGTTTGCATGCTATTTAAGCGATCGGCAAGGGCTGAGACATGCAGGCCAATGAGTGAAGTTTGAAATGTACCAGATCGATGTTTGCACCTCCTGCTTTTAACCCTTTTTTAAAACCTGCACCCCGTGGCATCTTAACGTCTCGTCCATCCAGAAAACTGTCAAGAACGTGGATAACTTGGCAACAATTTGCTCACGGTGGCTGCAGGTCACAACAAACTGCATGAAGCGCTTGTGTGGTTCTGATAAGGATAAGTCTTCTTATGTAGGCTCCATCGTGTGGTTTCCCATTCCGGGCCTACAAAAGGCGACATTGACCGTTTCTCTGTTCAATATTGCCGTCATTGTTTATCGAACATTGCTTTGCTCATTACATTTTGCAGATGGCACATCCACGTGCACCATGCAGCTGGTTTTACGTTTGCCAAGAGAACCCTAAAAAGCCCGAAATCCGTCAGATAAGATATTTACATTCGGGTGTGCGTGACCGTCCGAGCACATCAACCCGCGCTAGCATGACAAAAAATCTTCCAGTTAGGGGCCAAGGAGTTTCACATGAATTCATGCTATCCTCCCCCGCCACCTCCGCCTACATCACGCTTCCCTTCTGCCGTTGCGTTGACCTTTGACCCCAAATCCTCACATTCTGACCTGCCCACACGATCTTCCTTCGCCGATGCGCATACAGGCTGGGTTGACTGCCATCCGACTCGATGCCGATTTGTCGACCCTGAACGAGAGGAGGAGAAACAGGCAGCGAATGCCAACGCACATACCGAGAAAGATATCCACCCCCGTGGCACCCAAGTGGCTGAGCTTGGACACGATGACCCAAGCGTTTGCGGATACATTTGCAGTTCTTTCCTTCGCCAGAAGGCATCGGTCCCGTGTCGTCGCCATCCCGGGTCGGCGATATTTTGGACCCGTGCTCTTCAGCATTTTATCATTCTGTACATTTTGTGTTCCGCAATTGATGGTAGGAGGGAAGAAGAATTTTCCTGATGTTGCAAAGCACGTGGTCTGCTTATGGAGGTAAACTTTGTCTGATCAGGCAACTTGCACGGAAATCCGTTGAGATCTCGCAGTGCAACGTCTGAAGGCTTACGCTTCTTGTGACTGAACATGGTGTATTGGTGTGATCAATGTTTGCAAAGATATGAGTCCTTTAGTGACGTCACTAAACGGCCGGCCGCGCCGCCGGCTGTCGCGTTATCGGTTCACCAGAGTTCACGAAAAAAAAAATGAGAAGCAAATTGTTTTCGTTTTTGCGTTTTCAATCATGGTTGCATTAGATCTACCTACTTTTACGCGTTCATCTCGCTTTTTTAGTGTTGAAATTATTAACACGCAGGCTTATGTACATGTGACGTATCCCCGGCTGCACTTACATACGCTCTGACTCCTAGAAACGACTCAGTTTCTTCTTAGAATTGCTATCTGCCACGGATGACAGCCGTTTAAAGGGATCTTTAACCTTTATATGGGTTCTGAAACGAGAATAGTCACATTGCGATGCACAACAGATGTTCACAGTTATAGCGTTTATATATATATATATATATATATATATATATATATATATATATATATATATATATATATATATATGTGTGTGTGTGTGTGTGTGTGTGTGTGTGTGTGTGTGTGTGTGTGTGTGTGTGTGTGTGTGTGTGTGTGTGTTTCGACTGTCGCGCTGCAGCATTTTAGCCAGCACGGCAAATACACAATCCTTTTTTCACAGATTCTCTCCGTGGTACAGATCCCCGGAAATACCGACCGGGAAACGATTTGCCTGCCATCTCTGAGCGTGGAACACAACTACGCCAACATCCTCTCGCAGCTCGTGATGAAGCTGTAGCGTTCCAGGCCAACACGGGTCAAACACCGTCGCTGTATACGGCTGCCGTAGCGACAGCAGCAGAGCAAGAAAGCCACTCCCCGGCGCATCAAACGCGATCTTCTGGAGGAGAGGTGGGGGGGGGGGGGGGGGTGAACTTGATGTCACCAATGACAGACGCAAAGTCAGTTTTGTTCGTCGGGGGGGGGGGGGGGCGCTGGCTTCTCTGACCGGATAAACCTGGTAATCTGTGAAGCCTTAGCTCCGACCACCCCCTTGTTCCCTAGCTGCGATGCAGTAACGCAGCTGGAGACGATGGATCTTAGGATTCTCGAACACCTTGGTACAAATGCTTGCCGCTGGCGGAGATGCAGAACGCCACACATTTCCGTGGAATGCTCTGGACCGTCCTGTCTTAAGAAGCGCCACATCTCCATGCGCTGACGTAGGTGGCTGATCGCCAAATCTGGGAATGTGTTAGCCCTTTGGTCCTCATTCACCGCTTTATCCCGAATCCCCGCAACACTCCGCTTATCCGGGGCAAGCTGCATGCATCAGCCACGAGCGGGCTTACGTAGCCCCCCGGCGACGCTCTGGCGACCGTACATATCCTGGAGAACGGTTCCTGTGCGGGGTAGGTCTCGGTAGCGCAGGACTCCCAGATGCACGCAGTCTTGCCCCACCATTCTCCAGTGCCCTTCATCCCATAGCCATTGAATGGTCATCTTCGCCGAAAGGACCTAAATCTAATCCAGACGAAAGGAGAAATGGGGATGTAGCCACGGAAGAACTAATCAAAACATATTTTTCTGAAGAGTCTGGAAATTCTGAATCCGAGGTCAAGTTGTTGACATTGATGAGCAGGGTGCAGTGTGAGCGGCTGGGTCGCAGCCGCACGGCTGCAATGCCGCACAATGCCAATCAGACTGTCACCTTCCCTGGGTCAGCCCCTGGCTGCCCCCCCTTTGTCAGCTGTTCGGTGTTCTATTTCACGGATAGATGTCTCACAAGCTTTCTTGCTACTAAATTCGCACCCCAGCCTGCAGAGTTCCAATGGTGGGCGATCATTCCACAGTCCATCAGATCAAAGGTTGACGTAATTTAAAGTCGGATTATTGACATAAATACATGCCTTATGCCAGACAGAGCGAGCAGTTATTACTTAAGCACAGAATTCGTACCAATCCGTTGGCTGCATTACCCAAGACAAACAAACAGTCGCCTCGTCTTAATAAGCAGCAAACACGTTGTTAAGTTCATACCCCACTCCAGGTTATTGCGCGAAGGATGTACGCTGCCAAAAATACCCCGAACGAAATGACCATTGTTGCTTCTTTTGTCAATGCTGCGCTTAACTGGGGCGTGTTCTGGATAAATCCTCCGATACGATGTTCACATCATAGGAATAGGAGAACTCTTGAAAAGAAGAGGCCCTACCAGCAATAACTGCACCGAACCGAAGTGTCAAATCGTCACAATCGCAGTGCCCAATTTGTAGACTATCGTCACGTTACCAGCGCTACGTTTGTACAGGCAGCTGTATCGCTACGGATATATATATATATATATATATATATATATATATATATATATATATATATATATGTGTACTGTAATGCACCTGCAGGTTGTTTGCTTCTATGCAGCGTTTCCTCCTGTACAGTAACTGATCTTGTACATAGACCTATTATCACGGGTTGGGTGCGCGTGTCTGTTGCTAGATCTGATCTTTCAAATGCATGGCTCGGCCGACAGATTAGCTTCTGATAACATTTTTGGAAAAGTGCGTGAATAAATCAACCCATTCCTTAGCTAACCTGTTGTAGATATGAGCGTAAGGTGTAGCATTATGATGTGAAACGATGTAAAGATATATATGCTGCGCTGTTGATTGCATGGGGAACTAAAAATCAACCTCGACCCATTGACACAAATTGATCACAAACGTTTCGTCTCGGCACATACTAGTATGATCAAGCGTGCTCTTATCGGTGCCTGTCCCGTCCTAGTGGTTGCTCTCAAGCTACTGGCGTCGGTCTGATGCTATTCCCTGCATACGGACTGGTCACAGAGTGCTCGCAGCGGGTGTGACCGGGTGTGGCCATGTGACCAGGCGCGGCCATGTCACCGAGTGTGGCCATGTGTGACCGTCAGGTGTCACCATGTGTGGCCGTCGGGTGTCACCATGGATCGCATGTGGAATGCGCATTGAAACATCCAGAGAAGATAACGGCCAATGGTCAAAACGTTCAAAATTGCAGCCTTCAGCGTTCATAGCATCCAAACATCGTCCAGCTTCTCTGGACAGGGGAGAACCACATCATCCAAGCTCGTAGCATCCAAAACCACAGAAACTTCATAACATCCAGCGTTTATGACGTTCCAAAGTTAGAAAACAGTGTCAATCAAAGCTTACCAACTGGACGTCGTGATCGCTGGATGTTATGAACATTGGGTGTTATGACTTAATACGTTGCAAGCTTGCGTAATGTAAACTCCACCAATGGGCACGGAATTGTACGCATTTTGGATGCTATGAACGCTGAATGTTGCGATTTTGGATGGTGTGAGCAGTGGACGCTACGATCTTGGACATTTTGATGGCTTTCTTCGCGCGCGTGGCGCTCAGGTTACGCGTAGTATGAGCTTTAACGATGTGGCATGGAAAGTTTTCAGTCATCTCAGCTGTAAATATGATGCACGTATGTGATGTGGGTTGGGTGCTCGTGCGTGATATGGGACAGCACACATGTAACCTCGCTGGTCACCGTCATTAGGTTGGGTGTTTAGGAGCTCACAGCTGTTCTGTCTATTCCGTAAGCTGCGCTTCGTCATTTGAAGTAGATCCATTTCGTTATCTGTGCTTTCAAAGTTTAATCACGCTGAAATCCGATTTTTATAATACTTGGATAAAAACAGTCACAAACATTACAAAACAAAGATTTAAAATGTCGTGTGCTGTGGTTGGCTGCACTCGACTCAGAGGCGTTACTTCGCTGCTCTCGTCTCAGATGCGTTACTTGGCTGCTCTCGGCCCGGAGGCGTTACTTGGCTGCGATTCGGCGAGCAGCCTTTTGTCATTTTGTGACTTCATGCTGACTCAGGCTTGTTGTCGGAATGTGTCGTTGTGAATCAAGTTCTTAGTAAAAATCTGAAATGCCACTTGTGGTGGTAAAGATACGCGGTTTAAACTTCAGAACGGAGTCCTGACTGGGCTGTGCCGGGTGCGGTGGAAATCTGGAAATAGGCGGAGGCAAAAACGCCAGTGGCGAGTGGCTTCACCAAGCAGCACCTAATTGGCTTCTAGAGAAAATTGTTGCCTGCATTAAAGGCTGTGAATTTCGTCACCCACAATGAGGTCGAATCATTGCAATCAAAATGTGCAAAACCGAACATTCACCACCAAAAAACCTGCAATAAGCATCAACACCACGTGCAACGCTCGACAGACGTATCAAGTCGCCGGCTAGATCCGCTTTGTCAGTGGTCCACGTGCCGCATGCCACGTGGTTGCGACAAAACTTTCTAGCCACGAGCTAGAATTGCTTTGTCCTACGGCCCGTACCGGTCCGCGAACGACCACTCCGGGCGTCGTGGCGTGGCGTGCCAGCCTCACGCGGGCACGCGCCTGTGCTTCAGCGAACACATCCGATGCCACTTCATCGCGTCGCTGGAAACAATCGATGCTGGTCGGTGCTAGATTACATACAGGGAGTACTTTGCATGCTCGTCACAATGTCGTACAGTTGAGCTGATCGTTTTGATCGTAACGGGGTCACGAACATGATGTCATGCGGTATGACTGCGCTGAGCTGTTCGTCTGCACCAGCTACCTTAAGTCAAATAAACCACTGAAAGCACTATTTGTTCGCTGTTGACCCTCTAGCAGCTAAGTCTAAAGGCTTGGGATCTTTTCAAGAACGTGCTGGTGCTTTGCTGTTCCAAAACCGTGCTCATCATACCGCGCTTCTGTCCGGCGTTCGATATAGAAGATGGGCATTGCTCCGAGCGAGAAACAAGACAACGAACCATCATGTGTATTTGAATAAGAAACCCTGACACAATATGAAAGCTAACAAAGTAAATAGCGGTGTTGGCAGCGCTGATGGGTGAGCTTATGAGCTTGCTGACATCACCACACCCGTCAAGGCCCTCAAACGGAACACTCCCTACACCACCGGCCCGCCGTTCTCCTGACCGATTCGTGACAAGGTCCAAACAGGAGAAAGCGGCACCACCACGCGCGCCGCTTGTGGTAATGTGGCCATCTCCGGGCGCCACGCAGGTCATTCACAACACCAGGGCGCGTACAAACAAAATACAACGGCGAGACCCGCGTGAGACACGACGCGCTTCCTAATAAATATAATGGTGCTGGTCGATAAGGTGAAATTAACAAAAATGGGGCGTAAAATTGCAGTAGATCAGTTATACTATCGCATGGGCACAGGATAATAACGCAGCCAACGTCCGGTCACATTTACGTTTGGGGCACGAGCGGCGGCGTCACGACACACCTTACACTGATCCGGGCGGCAGAGCAAACGACACTTATAACACCTCCAGTTATCACAGCTGACTGAAACCAACTGTCCTCACGGTGTAGCCTATGATCAACACGCATCTCGACTGCGACGGCCGCTCACGGCTTCAACCATAGCGCGAAAGGTCTCCAGCGAAAAGCAGCAGCAGGCACTGTGAAATGCCGCCCAGCTCTCGTCCCTGACTTCACTATGTTTTAAGTGAGGGAGAGCGACGAGACTACGCGGACTGAGACCGTAGCCGGGTACATCACTTAATATCGCGTGTCAGTCAGTTCTCAGGCCAAGCACACCTCACAAAATCAATACAGCTCTTGATCGATACAATTCACTGGAGCAATGCCGTCGGCACGTCACGGCATCCGCCGCGCGCGCCACCTGTCCGCGGGCTCCTCACTCGCAGTGCTTTTTGTGTCCGCTGTGTGGAGCCGCCAGTTGGCGACCGACGCCACCGATAGTGATACCGGCGGAGAAAGCGACGAAGGGAAACCATGTCTTCAGCCGGGCCAGCTCGAGAGACGACTCGGTGTGGCTGAAACGGGCGCCGTCACGCGTCAGCCACGGCCGACCGTCACGCAGACTAGCACCGACAGTCAGAGGCCGTGACTGAGTCATTGTCTGCCGTCCAAAATACCCGACGGACCATGCGAGCAATGCAGGCCCAAGACCACCAATTGACGTGGCGCTTTTTTAGAGACATTTGGCGCGGCGTGCAGACCCACCAGGAGACAAACCAGGGCCCCATCCATCACAACATATGCCCCCATCCCCCAGATACTGTACGTTCCTGACCCAGCTAACGGCAGACTCTCCATCCGGGTCACGGCTTTTTCAGTCTCTTTTTGCAAAACACACCAGAGCGCGAAATCCAACCCAACCTCGACTGTCTGACCGAAGTGAAGCTCTTGAAGAACAGAAGAATATTACATAACAGAAAGCTACAACGAAGTAGTCATTTCCTTCATCCTCAGCTAATGCGAACGGTTCCACGCCCACTTCCGCCATGCGGGCGCGGGAAGTGGGCTGCCTTTCACAGACACCCGCACACGCGCGTTGATCGATAACGGTCCACCAGCCGACCGCAGCACCCGCCAAAAAACAAATCGCTCTGCTTGCCGAGTTGTGGCACAGCGGCGCACCGTGGGCCGTGTTCACCCCGCTAGCGCCAGTAAGCGGCGCACGCCAGGCCCCCGTGACGCACCCACCTGAAGACAAGCCGCATCACCAGGTAGTAGGCAACCACATGCGCCACGGCCGCCGCCAGCGAGGCGATACAGAAGCCGCACGTGGTACGGTCGAACGTCCACCAGAGCGCCAGGCTGAGCAGCGCCAGCGTCCAGGCCAGCTCGGCGTCCGTGGCGAAGTGGAAGCGGCTGTTGGCGTGGTTGATGCCCAGGAAGAGCGCCAGGCAGCGTGTGACCGACGCCCAGTCGCGGCCAGGCGCGGGCGAGCTGTTGAGCCAGCGGTCGAAGCGCGGATAGGCCAGCCCCACCACGACTGGAACACAGCAGGAGAGGTGTTACCTGGATTCGACTGACGGGCGGCAGGCGGTGGACAGCCGCGCCGGCCACACACGGCGTGTTCTCATAGGTTCCTGGCCCCGCTGAAGCGCGGTAGACGGGGCCACGGCCGCACGGCCGTGGGTGATGGCGCGCGGTCCGGACCCACTTACAGGAGCACGCGAGAGAGCGACGCCGGCTGGGCCTGATGAGACGCGACGCCCCAGAGTGCTGAATCACGCCCTCGCCGTTAACAGCGCCAGGTGGCGTGCCGGACCGCGCGGGCCGCCCCCGCCTATCGCCCGTCTCAGACGGTCGGGTGCACGGCGCAGGTGCCGCCGTCATCCGTAAACAATGCTCGCTGTACTGCGACGCTCGCTTCCGCGGCTCTCAAATGGTGCCGCACGTGCGACATCGGTGCGTGCACTGCAGCTGCGCGCTCCCAGGACAGGCAAACCCGGAAGCGAACGAACCCAGCACGACGGATGGATTCGGCTGTCGGGCAGGATCCCAAGTCTGGGGAAGGTGTGAGCCCGCTGCCCGATGCCATCCGTCAGATCCATAGCCTATTGCGGCATGTTCTACACTGAATGAACATGCCGACTAATAACACCACAGCACGCAATCGATCCAAATAGTACACCACAGATCCGGATGTCAAATGAAACGCAGCTGTTTAGCAGCAGCTCAGCACGCCCGCTGCATGCGCGGAATGTCTATTACTTGGGTCGCGGCACTATTTTCTACCGTTACACATTAGTCACCGACAGGCAAACGAGGCCGGGTAACTAGGCGACAGCCCGGGACGCATTACGGCACGCAGAGAGCAGGACCAGAGGACAGTCGTTTCCGGCTGAAAAACACACAAATTTCAGCTCCGAGCACAAGACACTCGCAAACGGTAAGTGTCCGTCGAGCAAGGCTTTCAAAAAAACGGCGCCCCTAATCGGTATCATTGTGGCGAACAATGCACGTGGTGCGCAGCGGGTGAAACGCAGCAGACGCCGCATGGCTCCTCGAACGCGTCACGAGTTTCTTCAACCACGATTCTGTCCCGAGACCAGCGTCAGCAAAGGGAAAGCCAACAACTGCACTTTCAATTGTGACCCAGTGGAATTCGGGATGGAAAGGGAGGCGGGAAGCCCAACCTAATAGGTTCCTGCAGGTGTTGGCACCTAAAGACATTTTAGAGACAGTTCGCAAGACGACAGGTTTAGCCAGACCCGATTCAAAGCGATTCAAAGCCCACGGGGATGAGGAGAGACAGCCTGAGGGACAGGGACAGCATGACTGTGAGGTCGGTCTCTGATGTACATACTGGCAGCTAGGCCGACCATGGGCGCGACCAGGCAGCTCCAACGCAGCAGCGCCAGCCAGTCCAGAGGCTCATCACGAGCCTGCCACGAGGCGCGCATCAGGTGCACCATGGATGATGCCAGGCACCCCCAGGAGAACAGCACTGAACCCCGCCACAGGTCTGACATGGTGTCTGGAAACACAGCACAGTTAGTTCCGTGGGAACCCTGATGAGGCAGTTCACCTGCAGATGCAAGGCTGCACACACTTTACAGGGGGCCCTCAGTACTTCCAAACTAATGCTTGGAATGTAACAGGCTAAGGGCAGGAATCCCATATGTGCTGTATGTACTGGCAGCTAGACAGCTAACACATACATACATCATGTCTGCATATACTCCTGTAAATAAGTAATGTAAGATGTAAATAAAACTTTATGATTGGTGGGACAATGCCATGAAGATGAACAACTGGGAAAACATCCTTTGAACCAAGTTCACATCTTATGATAGATATCTTCAATATCAATTTCTATATATGTATTATCTGAGACCAACACTGCTTCTGTCAGCCAATTCATATGGCAGTAATGACACCAATATTGTAATCATAATATGACTATGATAATCATGCAAAATCAACCAATCAGCACATACAGCATACCCAAAAATATGGCAACATACAAATACACAACTGCTTGATACCAATTCCTACATGCTAATCCTCAGTGTATGACAATGCAAATCTAATAATTGTAAGATTAGCATGACATTCAAAGCTATTGAACATCTGACAGCATCTAAAAAGTTAGTTTTTCAAGGACCATACATTTATCAGTCATCATAATATTTCAAACCCCATTGCTGGTATGAAACAACTCATAGCTCATGATGGGTCAATGTCAGCGTCAATAAACGAGCAAAGAACTGACTTCCAGGAAAACAAATTGCAGCCGTCCCAGCTCACCTACCTTAAGCAGTCTGCAGATCCAGTGATTACCTCGGGTCACACCATGTTCACCGATAATATGTCAGTCAGCTCTTGTGACAAAGATTAAGGAAGTACCCGGCGACAGCCAGGAGGCGGATGCATGTTCTCCACGCGCTTCGCAGATCTGCTGTTAAGTGGCTGAATATATCACCGTCCCAACCTCCAGCGACGACCAGCTCACCCGTTTTCACCAACCGCCGGTAGGAAACAGCACCAATCCCTCGCACGAGGCCCCCAAAGTCATCGCCCTCCCCACCCCCGACCGCTCTCCGCAACGCCTCCCGTACTCTTTCCGCGACCCGACGCCCAAGGCTGTCGGCCACAAGGCCTCCACTGGCCCCACACCAGCTGATGCTCGAATGACCGAAACCAGCCAATGACGGGCCGAGTTCGCTCTGCGTCACGCGTCGTCTGGGGACGGACGGCGGCAAGCTGCGAACGCCCGCCGCCAGGTGGTGTTGGTGTGCGCATTTCATGTGGCTCATGGAGTGGAGGTGGCCGGGCGGTGACGCGCGTGCCGTAAGGTGATGAGCAAAAAGTTCCACCTCAGGATCGGTGATGACGGGGGCCGCGATGACATTTGCTTTTGTCGGTAAAGATCAGAGTGATTACCACTGAAATTTCTACCGTACTGAAATCATGGCAGTCATGTATCCTAGAAAGATACCGATAAAGTTTTACCTGCCAAAATTTCACCTGCATCACCACGTGGTGGAAGAACGCTACGGCCACTTTCATGCAAGGTCCCAGAAACGGCCGTAGGAAAAGTTTTGAGTGCGAAGTTGCGAAAGCAGGCCTGTAGCCAAGCGGGTGCACGGGGTGTCCGTTCATTTGCGACACGCCCCTAGCCTCGTTTTTTTCCCCGCATACCCGTTGCTAAGGTGTGGGGGCTTCACGATGGTTGGATGAAGCCCGTCATTGCGCTGAGATCTGCGAAGATCATATCGTAAAAACATCAATATCACTTGATTCATAGCGTGCAAGTTCCATTCTCAACTCCTGCATTATTTGTTGCACTAGTGATTTAAGAAATGACCTGAGATTTAATATTACCAGGTTTTCTTTCCAGATGTGGTTTTCAGATATTAAAAAGTGCCCAAATTTCCACGGCAACCAGGGGGTATTCAAGCATCGGTGGCGATCTAATGTTCATGGCTACTGTCGTGCGGGCGGATTTTACGAATTGCAAATTTTGTTGTTTCTTTTGCTTCCGTTCCTTTGTGTTAACTCATGAACGACATTTTCCTTACTGGCCACCATTACGTTGCGCGGATTTTCCTTTAATTCAAAAATTCCCGCTTGTTTCGTGTAGTTTTGTGCTGTCTTTGACACGCTTTGATTTTTGCTTTTGGCGACATCCCTCGTGCTAGGCACCAGTAAGTCATGCGTAATATTCTCCAAATCCTTGTTTTCTTCTGCCTAATTTTTGCCGTCCGCGTGACTAAGAGGAAAGGCTTTTCTCCATAATTTAATCATGATTACCCGACGGATCACTCACCGACACAAACGGCAATCACGAGATTCCCAAAGCCCAACTTGCACAAAAGCAACAAGCGCCTGACTGGCTTAACTAATATGCAGTCCTTGTATGTCTCGATGCCACGTACCCACATATGATGCAACGCATAACGTTTTGCACATGTTTGCGAATACTAGTTAGCGACGCTACAGGGTCACTTCGTCGGGATAATCGCGCGTATGGATGTATTAATTTTGTTGGTATTTGTAAATATAAGCGCCACAGGCGGAGGGAGCAAATGAAGAAAGAGCATGATTTTATTTGAAGGCCCACTTACTGCCAAACTGAAGGCATCGTAGCTTTCCGTAGAGAGCCAGAATTCAAACCAAGGAGGATAGGATAGAGGAGGAGAAGAATAGCTGAGATAGAGAGCAATACATCGGGCTCAGAAGGCCTTTTGGTTTATCAAGAGATTCGTTTCTGGATCATGAGGTCACCTTTATGAATAATGCTCTAGATACGGAGGCCCAATGTTGTGTTAAGGGGGCCCCTTTGGTGGCTCGGGAGGCCACTATTATACAGTGGGATGCCCCTGTTCTGGGTTGAGAGGCACCCTCTATATTCAAGGAGCCCTACCTCTGGGAGAGGAGATCCCTTTGATGCATTATATGGCCACGGCTTCGGATCAAAATGCCCCATGTTGAGATAGCAGGGCCCCTTGGCTGGAATTGGAGGCCTCCTTCGTGAATCGGAAGCTCTTGTTCCGGATAAAGAAGCCCGGCTATGCACCGGGAGTTACTTTTCTGGGACAGGAGAGCCTTTTTTAGGGTAGCGATACCAATTGCTGCATAATCAGAAAGCCTCATCTTGCATTTTTAAAATGTATTGTCTACGTATATGCACTTAGATATGATTCATGCCACAGGTTTATAAGTGGCTCATGCCCTCGGTGCATCTCCACCTTGGATACGACATTGCGCAGGAGGCCTCCTGTGAGGAGGCCTCATTTTTCAGGAGGCCCCCTGGAAAATCCTGGCTCCAAGTCAAATCCCTGGCACCGCCTCTGTTTCCCATGCAAAATCCGACGCAGTGATATTTTCTTATCAACGCTGTCACATTGCCTCGGAAGCCCCTTGAATGTCAACAGTCAGAATATCCCCCCCCCCGTCCCTTATTTCAGATGGGTGACCCCCACATACCGAGGCTTCTTTAGATCGTCGCGTCACGTTTCATATGAATAATGATATATCTTTGACAACCCGGCCCAGGCCGACTTGGCATCACTGAATGCATGTCCCGGCGCGATTGGGTACTGGCCGGCGCACACCTCCACCCCTTTGTACTGTGTCAATTCGATTAACCTTGAGTTACTGTGTGTTTCTTTCCGATGACATATCGCCCTTCATATATCCGATGAAGGGCGCCGGTAACGCCCTCCCGGACGTTACCGGCGCACTCCGGACATCACCAGAGGTCTACTTGCAATTTGGCACGAACGTATTCCAGGTCTCCCGCAGGCGCAACTACAACTCTCCCGTTGCGCCCGCGTCTTATTGCGTCCTAATCACACCCCCCCCCCCCCCCCCGTGTCATGTTGCACTGCCTGCATGCTGCCAGAAATTTTACACGTACATTAACTATGTGCTGGCGTGCAGAAGACCTTCGCACCCACTCCATCACTTTCACCCCGACACCACAGCGTCTTCTGGAACGATTGGACATTCCTATAGAATGTCTTCTACTAGTCTAAACAGCATGTTACCGAAGTGGACTTTTTCTTCGCACTTGAATCCGCTCTCGCCAGAGAGCATTAAAAAAACGAACGATATAGTTTGCTACACTGACGGTTCCAGGCGGCACGGCCACCATGCGACCGGTTTTAATATTTCTGCCACTTCTTACTCGCTTCGTATTTCTGATTTCCACACTGATTTTTACGATCTCCGGCTGTGACCTGTGCAGCAGAAATTCGTCCCGTTGCGGAAGCCTATCGGGCCTATTTTCTTGCCGGACCAAAACGTTAGCCTGCGGTCGGCACTTGTTGACTTCCTCCCTCGCGCTGCTTGTTTGAACGTTGCATAGCGCGATGGATTTACAGCTCGGGCGACCAAACTCAGATGCTAAGGAAAGGCAGCGCGGTTTTTGATGATACACCACGAGTGGCCATTTGTGACCGTGCGCTGCGTGTCACAGTCATTGTTTCTGAAATGTGCAACGCAAAACAGCAGTCACGGATGCTGGTGCCTGGACGAGAGATCTGGAGTTACAGCAAACCGGAATCCGGAGTGTAGCCGAAACAGTGCCTGCGACCGTCCTGCCGGTGGCAATTTGTAAACTTCGGTTTTTCTTTGTAGGCCCAATACGTTTAAACATAGGGTCTTGGATTAAACTGCCGATGCGGATTTGCCTGCTGACGATGCGATCCGTGAAGAGGGCTACGAAATTTGCGCGGGTAAGAACACTTGGTTCATTCAACACAAAGTGTGCCCTTTATATATGCATATAAATATAAATTTTAAACAAATTTCTGCAACTTTTTTGAAAAATGTCTGATGTGCAAGTCACAACCGATAATCTAAAAAATCAGTGTGGAAATCGGGAATACAAAACGAGTAAGAAGTGGCAAAAATATTACAACCGGTCGCATGGTGTTCGTTCCACCGGGAACCGTCAGTGTAGTAAACTATATTGCTATATATATATATATATATATATATATATATATATATATATGTGTGTGTGTGTGTGTTTTCATGTAAGAAGACATAGAATAAACCAATCATGTGGTGCATCCCATAGTAACTCACGCGCATTAACTCGGTAGCTAACGATTATCATATCCACTACAGAAAAGGGCAAAACTGTTTTACCTGAAAAAGAAAACGTTGAGTTGTGATTTCTTTCGCAGCATGTGTTTATATGCTAAAATTAGACAATCCTCAATATACCTGGGGGCATTGGTTAACTGAAGACATCTTTTAATGCTTGGGCAGTGTTTACCGGATTGTGATCACGTGGTATCAGTGCTTTATTAACGTCAAACGTTTTTCGAGCTACCCTTGGAGCGTTGCCGTGCATTGGGCGTTAGGATTAAGAAACATGACTGGCTGTACGGATGTTCGTAGCGGGTGTATCTTTATCCCTATAGGTACCCAATGTGGGTAAAACAGACCTATCAGCTGATCCTTTGCACGTCTGATGAAGCCCTTCGGCGTCTGATCACGCCCGGTCACCCGTGGTTCCGTCTGGTGCCGTCTGGTTCGGTCCAGTCCGTATGGTGCCGTCCAGATCGGTCCGGTTCCGTCTGGTTCCATCCGGCTCGGTCCGGTCCGTTTGGTGCCGTCCGGTTCGGTCCGGTCCGTTTGGTGCCGTCCAGTTCGGTCCGGTCCGTTCGGTGTCATCCGGCTCGGTCCGGTCCGTTTGGTGCCGTCCGGTCCGGTTCAGTCCAGTCCCATTTGGTTTCGTACGGTTCCATTCGATCCGGTCCCGTCTTGACTGTTCTCACATGGCCTCTTCTGATGTGATCTGGCCCGTGCGGTCCCCGTCCCATCCCGTCCCATCCCGCCCAATTCCATCCCACCTCGTTTAGTCCAGTCCCATCTCGCCCAATCCCATTCCATCTCGTCCAATCCCGTTCAATCCCGTCCCATCCCGTCCAATCCCGTCCCATCTCATCCAATCCCGTCCCACTTCGTCAAATCCCGTCCCATCTCGTCCAATCCCTTCCCATGTCATCCAATTCCGTCCCATCTCGTCCAATGCCGTCCCATCTCGTCCCATCCAGTCTCTCCAGTCCAAGCTGTCTTTCCTTGTGGCCACAGTTTATCTA